AATCACTACCTAGGAAGGATTTCAGACCCTGTTTAGGGGATTGTCCCAGCCGTCTCCCCTTGTCATTACTATTGCACACATGTCAGTGGGCCACTGAGCAGGTGAAAGGACATGGTAGATATGAAAACGTCCATAAATGCCCTTTACCAAAATACATGATTCTAAGGTGTTCCTAACACTTCAGTAATAATGTATAGAGTGAGTTGAATGTTGATTCCAAATCTCAATGTATCAAAATCTGTTTCTTTCCTTCCAGGCACCACCCACTTATGATGCCCTTGTACAGATGGAGTATCTGGACATGGTGTTGAATGAAACTCTCAGATTATACACAATCGGTGGTAGACTTGAGAGGATTTGTAAGAAAGATGTGGAAATCAGTGGTGTGTTTATTCCCAAAGGGACAGTGGTGATGGTGCCAGTCTTTACTATTCACCGAGACCAGGATCTCTGGCCAGAGCCTGAGGAGTTCCGTCCTGAAAGGTACAGGAAACCCTGGAATGGGGAACCCACCCTCATTTTGGAGGATATTCTGATATTTCCTTCATATAGATGACAAGCATGTGGTTGACAATTATTTATTTGTACATCTTTTTGTTTTTAGAAGTTTTTTTATTATAAGATGATCATTGTCAAAATTTTGCAAAGCCTAGTTGGGAAAAAAGAAGATTAATGTCATTACCAGTCACATACATCATTATTAATCATATGATATATGTCCTTGTGGATATTTTTCTATGCATATAGATTAATAAAAGATAGTATGGCATTATATATACACACATTTATATATATATATGTGTGTGTGTGTGTGTATACTTTTTTAAAATTTAGATTTTTTTTAGTGTTCCAAGATTCACTGTTTATGCACCACATCAGTGCTTCATGCAATATGTGTCCTCCCTAATACCCACCACCAGGCTCACCTAACCCCCCACCCATGTCCCCTCCAAAACTCTCAGTTTGTTTCTCAGAGTCCACAGTCTCCCATGGTTCATCTCCCCCTCAGATTTTCCCAATTCACTTTTCCTTTCCTTTTCCTAATGTTCTCCATCCTATTCCTTGTGCTCCACAAGTAAGCGAAACCATATAATTGACTTTCTCTGCTTGACTTATTTCACTCAGCATAATCTCCACCAGTCCTGTCCATGTTGATACAAAACTTGGGTATTCATTTTTTCTGATGGAGGCATAATATTCCATTGTATATAGGGACCATATCTTCATAAAATCTTCTTTATGAAGATATGGTCTCTAGCTATATGTAGAGGAATGAAACTCGACCATTCTCTTACACTGTACACAAAGATAAATTCGAAATGGATGAAAGACCTCAATGTGAGACAGGAATCCATTAGAATCCTAGAGGAGAACATAGGCAACAACCTCTTTGACATCAGCCACAGCAACTTCTTTCAAGATATGTCTCCAAAGGCAAAGGAAACAAAAGCGAAAATGAACTTTTGGGACTTCATCAAGATCAAAAGCTTCTGCACAGCAAAGGAAACAGTCAACAAAACAAAGAGGCAACCCACAGAATGGGAGAAGATATTTGCAAATGACAGTACAGACAGAAGGCTGATATCCAGGATCTATAAAGAACTTCTCAAACTCAGCTCACACAAAACAGATAATCAAAAAAATGGGCAGAAGATATGAAGAGACACTTCTCCAATGAAGACATACAAATGGCTATCAGACACATGAAAAAATGTTCATCATCACTAACCATCAGGGAGATTCAAATTAAAACCACATTGAGATACCACCTTACACCAGTTAGAATGGCCAAAATTAGCAAGACAAGAAACAACGTGTGTTAGAGATGATGTGGAAAAAGGTGAACCCTCTTACACTGTTGGTGGGAATGCAAGTTGGTGCAGCCACTTTGGAGAACAGTGTGGAGATTTCTTAAGAAATTAAAAATAGAGCTTCCCTATGACCCTGCAATTGCACTACTGGGTATTTGCCTCAAAGATACAGATGTACTGAAAAGAAGGGCCATCTGTACTCCAATGTTTATAGCAGCAATGGCCATAGTTGCCAAACTGTGGAAAGAACCAAGATGCCCTTCAGCGGACGAATGGATAAGGAAGATGTGGTCCATATACACTATGGAGTATTATGCCTCCATCAGAAAGGATGAATACCCAACTTTTATAGCAACATGGATGGGACTGGAAGAGATTATGCTGAGTGAAATAAGTCAAGCAGAGAGAGTAAAGTATCATATGGTTTCACTTATTTGTGGAGCATAACAAACAACATGGAGGACAAGGGGAGATGGAGAGGAGAAGGGAGTTGGGGGAAATTGGAAGGGGAGGTGAACCATGAGAGACTATGGACTCTGAAAAACAATCTGAGGGTTTTGAAGGGGCGGGTGGTGGGTGGTTGGGGGAGCTAGGTGGTGGGTATTAGGGAGGGCACGTATTGCATGGAGCACTGGGTGTGGTGTATAAATAATGAATTCTGTTACACTGAAAATAAATAAATAAATAAATAAATTAAAATAAAAGATATGGTCCCTGTATACAATCACATTATATCTTTTTAACTACTTACTTAATGTAACAGTAAGCTATAAACAACATACCATATTTGTGTTTGTGATTATGCATATACCATAATATACATTACCATTTTCCTTTTTAAGACAATGTGGCTTTTTTTCCTTTAAGTTTTTCTGCTTCCTCTAGCTGTCTGAATTTACTCCTCACATTCTCACATTCCATCTTTGCAACCCTGGGCCACCATTTCTGCTAGCTGTAGTGGGAGAGCAGCAGCTGTGGAGCTGAGAGTTCATGTCCCTGACAGGAGGAATAGCCTCAGGAGGACATAGGCACACAGGCCTGTGCCAATGGCTGTGATCCTGTGCCAGCTTCCACCTCTCTCAGCATCTGGGGTTCATCCAGAGCAAGCTCATCTGCTCTCTAGCTGTCTGAGACATCCTCCTTGGAGGGGTCTTGAGCTTTCTCTTCTGATGACTCAGAGCAGAATCTGGCTTTGGGTGCAGCTTGAATTCTGCTACAGTCTGTGTTTTCCTGTTTTTTGTACTGGTGAGCAAAATTTGGATGAACGTTTTAGGGATTTAGATGTTTAGCCCATGCCTCTAAGCTCCTTGATGGCAGAGCCCTTGTCCTGTTGCATGACATCCCTAGTGCTAGCAATGCATCTATACATACTTGCTGAAAGATCTCAAAATGACCAAGTCATCTGTTTTCTCTACCAGGAGACCTGATGGTTCCCAGAAGCTCAGCAGTTCCCTCTCCTGTAGCTTCTCTAATGGAAACCAGGGAACATTCCTGGTACTTGTCTGTGATTCATTCAGTCACGAGAGGAAGTGCTTATCTGTGTGTGTCAGGGACTGTGCCAGGCAGTATGCAATCCATGTATTAAAAATGCCTATTATGGATAATTTTATTAAAGATTTTATTTATTTGATGGGCCCCTGGGTGGCTCAGTCGTTAAGTGGGTGCCTTCGGCTCGGGTCATGATCTTAGGGTCCTGGGATCGAGCCTCACGTTGGGCCCCCTGCTCAGTGAGAAGACTGCTTCTCCCTCTCTCGCTCCCCCTGCTTGTGTCCCCTCTCTCACTGTGCCTCTTTCTCTGTCCAATAAATAAATAAAATCTTTAAAAAAAGATTTTATTTATTTGCGTGAGAGAGAGGGAGAAAGAGCAGAAGTGGGGGAAGAGGCAGAGGGAGAGGGAGAAGCAGGCTCCCCACTGAGCAGGGAGCCCAACATGGGGCTTGATCCCAGGACCCTGGGATTATGACCTGAGCTGAAGGCAGACGCTTAACCAACTGACCCACCCAGGTGCCCCTATTGTGGAGAATTTTGATAAATGCACAAGTATATTGTATAGATACAAGTCTATGAGATACTTTACATGAATCTATATGTGCCCATCACCTGCCCAACAAACACTAACCCATGTCAGCTTCCCCATCCATGCACTGTTATAATTCCTTATCTGTTTTCCGTATTACATTAAAGCATATCATCGGTTAATATTCTAGTATCTTCTCTATAATATAGTGAGTTTTAAATAGTACCTCACCACAATGCCATTATCACTTTTCATTGATATAAATATGGAGGAATAAATTTTGTATAAATTGTAGATCTAACCTTTAAGGAGTTTATAGCTTTGTGGGACAGATAGACCAAAACTCAGTAATTAGAGTGATTATTCATAATTGTGAATATGATTATAGTGGAGTCATATCACATGCCTAGGTAAATCATCTGAAAATTGGTTGGGGTGGTCCTAGCAGGAAGGTAAGGAGGTAAAGGGAAAAAACAACAATGTAAACCATGGGAGGCATTTGTCCTCATTCCTTTTTCCATGGATATATGACCAACATCAGTAAGTGGAGGCAAGATCCTACATTTCCTTCAATCAGGTTCATTTCTTGCTTGCCTTTCAGCTGGTGAACATCTCACTACCCTGAATATAATTCTAGTGTTTAAGATAAATCTTTTCAAAAGCATTCCTCCCATCTCTTCAACAAGACTGAATGCCCCCATAGAGGAAGGGGTGTGCAACAACCTGTAGCTTATAATTGTCATAGCAGAGTAGCATAGCAGGACTTCTGTAACCAGCCCATCAAATTTCCTATGTACCCCTGGTTGAGAACCCCAAATATATAGCTCTTGTGGTTTTTATGTTTCCTAACTTGTTTCCAACTTGTATTGTGGAACCAGGTTCAGTAAGAAGAACAAGGACAGCATAAATCCTTATACATATCTGCCTTTTGGAACTGGACCCCGAAACTGCATTGGGATGAGATTTGCGATCATGAACATGAAACTAGCCCTTGTCAGAGTCCTGCAGAACTTCTCCTTCAAACCTTGTAAAGAAACACAGGTCAGAGAGAGCACTTTCTGTAAAAAGAATGTTTTATTGTATTTTTTTTAAACTAAGGGATATGGAATAGAGGTGTGTGTGTGTGTGTGTGTGTGTGTACTCATTCATGCCTAGTAATTTGTTCTATCAGCCAGACAATCTATTTGAAGCCATCTGTGATGTTCAAGGGCCCTTCAGTTCCTGAGTGCCATATTTGTGGTTTATGACCACCCAACCATAAGGGTCACATGGTCAGTACAGTTCATGTGATATCATTATACACAGAATGATGACCTTGAGCAGTATATTAAATTTCTTTTAAGTCCACTGAAAGGAGGGAACCAAGTTGTGCACAGTCATGGCTTGCAGTGATAACCATGATGTGACTTTTGAACAATGCTCTTCTCCACCACAACTTACAGACTTATAGACACAACTTATAGACACTCTAGTGACTGAAGTTCTCGAATCCTCATTGTACATAGGAATCAGTGGATTTGTGAAAAATCCTGATGCCCAGGTCATCTCAGAAACTCTAATCTAATTCACCCAGAGTGTGGCTTTAAAGGTACCCTCGTGATTCTCAAAGGCAAGCAAGGTTGAGAATCTGGTGTGAAGCATGTCTGCCTGATGTGAAGGACTCCCAGGGACCAGGCCATCCTGGGTATGTGGCTCCACCTTCTGCAAGCTTGGCTCCTGTCAGGCTGTGCTTCCTTCCCATCCCAATCTGTCATCAAGAATGGATGTTTCCATGAGAGAGGTGACAGCGTGTTTAGCAGTGTGGATGTCCATACAACAAAATGTGGAATAAACGCTCAGGAGTCAACATATAAAAAATTAACTCTGGCACTTTTCAATATTGTTGCCACAATGGCCATGAATCTGTTTTAAATGTTAAAGACTCATCCTCTTTCCTTAAAATTAGAATAAAAGAAAAACACCAGCCAACATGAATGTGTCTGCAGCCTGTACAGAGTAACAATAGATCATCTGTTGAATGAGTGATGGATGAATGCTTTCATGCTCCAATCTTGACAGCTTACAGAGTACTTTTAAAGAATCAGAGATAGGTGAATCTAATAATCGTATTTATATGTTTGTAATGCATCATTGTCCTTCATGTATCTTGCCTTCTTTGCTTCTGTTGTTGGCAGGATTTCATTTGTTGGTTCTCAATGCTTGTTTAACTGTTGCAGATCCCCATGAAATTAAGCATTCAAGGGTTAATTCAACCAGAAAAACCCATTGTTCTCAAGGTTGAGCCAAGAGATGGCAGTGTGAGTGGAGCCTGACTTTCCCATTGGGCCTCCCCTTTGTTCTTCAAGAAGCCGTATCCCAGATCATCAGAGACCTCAATTTCCTTTGTGAGTAAAACCCAGAAATGAAGGTGGCCTGCATCTACTGCCCGTGACAAATGACTAGGGCTTCCATACCTTCATTTAGCCTTTTTGGTGTCTGTGTGGAGCATTCTGTATTGTGGAGAGTGAAGGAGGTGATCAATAAGTGCCAGAGATATAGACTCAGCCTGTCTGGTTCACACAGACTACCCCCAGTTAGTACCATCTGTTCCCCTGATCAAGAATAAAACTTTCTCAACAATTTTATCAACCTACTTTAATGAAAATAAGACTTATTGTCATGACTATGATAGTAATATTTCTATCATGTCTTATTTTGAACATGCTACATTAAATATCACACTGAGCAAGTCAATCAACATCACTTTCAAAACTCTGAACTGATAGATTTGTGCACATTAAAATGGGATCTGTAGAACAATGAGTGAGAGCCAGTGACTGAATGTTTTGACCATTATCGTCACTGGGTGGGTAGAGCTCATTCATATCTCCAATGTGGTATATTAAGATAAGTGAGAGTAAATCCACTGTGACTTTGCCCATTGGTCAGAAAGTATATTCACAATTTAATTCTATAGGTTTTGGAGCACATGTTTTTTCTAACTCTCGATTGAGGCACTTAGTATTATATGATTAGTTTTCATCTCATCTGCTCTGATGTTCTGGTAGGCAGAGGACATGCTTTCTCTTTGTGTTCTAGCCTCAGCTCCCAACTGTCCTGACAAAATGAACATTGAATCAGACGTGGTTGATTGGCTGGTTGACTTGGCAGGAAGGCTAAAAGCATTTGTCGATTTCAGTTGGTATGAGAAGCTGCATATAATTCTTCCTATTTCCCCCCTCCCCTCCAGCCCCTTCTATCTCCTCTCCTGGCCTCTTCCTTTGCCTTTCCTTTCCGGATAATTCAGTTCCAATGCCATCGGTGGGGCACATCCAGGTGGCAGCCCCATGCTGGGGTCAGGGGCAGAGAAGAGTCATAGTGACTCCAAGTTAGAGACTGAGTGGGGTGAGGAGGGTGTACACATGGAAAAACAGGCTGGCATGTCTGTGGGAGCCCAAGCTAGATGAGAGGGGTGCCCACACAAAGGGTTGGTCTGAAGGAGACCTTGGAGCCCAAGTACAGTATGGAGAACCCAAGTATCATGGTGGGGGTGATACATGAATTTTAAGGGATGGAGTGAGGGTTAGTTACATAATGGGGGATTGATCAAATAAGTAAATCTATTACCACTAAATGGTGTCAGGAGTTTCTCACTGTTGGAGAAGGGAGTCATGGATTTGGAAAGGGAGAAAGCCTAATGAAGCCTTTGTATTCAGAGACGGGAAGTGAGTGTGTCAATGTAATGTTGTGCCTTCCTATGGATAGATGATAGATTGGTAGAGAGATAGAAATGTGTGTGTGTGTGTGTGTGTGTGTGTGTGTGTGTGCCAGAACACATATCCCCTACCTCTCTCCATGGACAGTTCTTAGAAACAGTCACGTGGTAAGGTAAAGCCCAGATCTTGGCTCACAAATGTCATTTTCCACTGAAGGGAACTAGGGCTTTTCAGAGAAATGACTGATTCCAGACTGGGAGAGAACATGATGATCCAGGAGCATCTTGTGCTCCACAATGATGGGGACATGTCCACAGGACACAGAGCTAACGTGCAGGGTCTCATCCACCCCTCAGGCATGATTTGGGCATCATGATAACTAATGATAGGAAGAGATTATAGCCCATTGAATAAAACTGGACACTCAAGTACACACAGGTGGAGAGAAATACAGGAACAGATTACAATCGATGAGGACACTCACACAGTTTCAAAGTACTACAGCTCAGACATCCATGAGTTCCTGAAGAAAGAGTAGCTCACAGAGCAGAGACCTGGCAGACCAGTGAGCATCATCAGGAACAGGAGGAAGGGATGGAGCATCACCGGAGAGGTTGCTGTGAGAGGAACCCAGCGTCCCCTCTGGGATATTCTTGCCAAGGAGGCAAACCTGAAAAGAAATCCCCCAAATTGTCAGACAGACCTGAATAAAGGAATATCTACCCCTAATTTGTAATTGGTATGTAATCTTCTACAATGTCATGGCCCTGAAAGCAATAAAAAAGTGATACAAAAGAAAGCACAAACCAGGATTGGAGTCACTGGCCCCCAACCCCACCTCACAACAAACAATTGTGGATCAACCTATCCCAGGAAGGGGACCTTTCAAGAGTCTGTCTGAAATTTCCTGATGTGCACTAGTGAGTCATCTGTGGGATAGAAACCCTGCAAGTCCATTCCCCAGAATGAAGGTGTCCTGTCTGAAGCAATGCTTCCTTTTCCCTCTGTTCTCTTCCTGCCCCACTCTCCTCCCTAGAAAACCCTGCATTTGTACACCTCCTAGTAGCATTGGTCGAGTTGGCAGGTGGGATGGTGCCAGTGCATGAATTGCTTAATAAAGCCGATTAGATGTTCAACTTGCTTGCTGGATTTTTTTTTCCCACAAAAACCAGAGACAAAGTAAGGAAGTGTTCCAGACTGAACAAAAGAGACTAAAGATGGGTGATATGTAACTTCAGTGTGTGAGCAGTGTCCTTCTGCTATGAAGGGCATTATGGGGCTGTTAGGGAAATTGAAGGATCTGACTGTTATTTGCAAAATTTGTCAGCTTCCAATTCCTGACTTTGATAGATTACAGGGGATTATGAAATACTGGATCAGCATTTACTCTGAGATGTATCAGGAACATAGTTTTTGGAAGAGACTCTTCTGGAAGGCTGTGATTGTTTTCAGGAGGAGAGGGTCACAAAAACAGCTTGAGACTACACAGCTCTCTCCATCCTTTGTTGTTGTCTGACTTGTATTATTTAATACACACAGTGATTGAGAGATGGGGAACTCTGAGGCTGGAGCTCCTGGGGTTTGAATCCCAGCTCCTTCCAGGGCTGAGTCTAGACCAATCAGAGGCCTTGGGTAAATGAAGAAAAGGTACCCCCTTTGCATAGCTGGGCGCACAAGGTTTGGGCCACATTTCAGCACCCGTGTGCCCCTTAGCTGAATGCCACTGTACACAAGTTAGCCTGGGCTTTGTCATTATCTCAGGTCAGGTCCCTAAAAGTAGAGCCTGAGGTGGGGGTTCTAGAGCAAATGGTCTACTAAGGCAGTGCTCTCAGGAGAAAGGATTGAGGGGAGCTAGGTAGGGCAGGGCATGGAGAACTCTGAATTCAAATTTTATTACAGAGTCGATATCACTGTGAGGCAGTCACCGGTATTTTGTAACCCATCAGTGGGTCATAGACTGCCCTCCTGCCCCCAGGAGGCACAAACTCCTTGGTGAAGTGGATTCAGTTTGGCCAAGGGCAATTCTCCAGAGAAAGGGGCAGTTTGAGCTCATAAGAGTGAATACTGCCTTCTCCTAACTCCCCATGTCCTCCATGCTATTTGTTATGCTCCACAAATAAGTGAAACCATATGATACTTTACTCTCTCTGCTTGACTTATTTCACTCAGCATAATCTCTTCCAGTCCCTCCATGTTGATACAAAAGTTGGGTATTCATCCTTTCTGATGGAGGCATAATATTCCATAGTGTATATGGACCACATCTTCCTTATCCATTCGTCCGCTGAAGGGCATCTTGGTTCTTTCCACAGTTTGGCAACTGTGGCCATTGCTGCTATAAACATTGGAGTACAGATGGCCCTTCTTTTCAGTACATCTGTATCTTTGGGGTAAATACCCAGTAGTGCAATTGCAGGGTCATAGGGAAGCTCTATTTTTAATTTCTTGAGGAATCTCCACACTGTTCTCCAAAGAGGCTGCACCAACTTGCATTCCCACCAACAGTGTAAGAGAGTTCCCCTTTCTCCACATCCCCTCCAACACATATTGTTTCCTGTCTTGCTAATTTTGGCCATTCTAAGTGGTGTAAGGTGGTATCTCAATGTGGTTTTAATTTGAATCTCCCTGATGGCTAGTGATGATGAACATTTTTTCATGTGTCTGATAGCCATTTGTATGTCTTCATTGGAAAAGTGTCTGTTCATATCTTCTGCCCATTTTTTGATATTATCTGACTATGGACTCTGAAAAACAATCTGAAGGGTTTGAAGAGGTGGGGGGGTGGGAGGTTGGGGGAACCAGATGGTGGGTATTAGAGAGGGCACGGACTGCATGGAGCACTGGGTGTGGTACAAAAACAATGAATACTGTTATACTGAAAAAAATAAAGAGTGAATACTGCCAGCAACTGGGGATGAGTATGTTGCCTAGCGACAGGAATCTGGTACCCTCCTCCTCTATAGACACTTTTACAGGGAACCTGGAGTTAATTAGTTAACACCTTCCTGCCTTGGTACTTAGTACCTCAGATTGTGTAAAATAGGGGCAGAATGCCAGTGCCTATCTGACATGATGATGAAACCAGATGATGTGTATGAGGTCTTTGGGACACAGACCACGGAGCATGCAGCGAGCTCATAATCAATATTGGCTATTACTCTCATAGCTGTATTATCCTCAGTCCTCTAGAGACCACATTAATTTGGACATTTGGGCTCCATCCCTGTCAAGTCCAGCTTCAATCTGCAATTTGAGAAAGTAATTGCAGACATCTTTCACAAGGGTTTAACTATGAAGATATTAATGTCTCAGCTGGTGTTGTCCAGGAATTTTCCAAAGAACAATATAAACATCCTCCTTCTAGAAATGACTTTGTCAGATGATAATCAATACATGAACCTCACTGAGATGGAGTGGGGTTTCAGCAGGGGCACCCTCATACCCTAGCACTCAGACCCAACAAGAAGTGATAGACTTGACCTCAACGGGACCTGACCTTGCTCTACCTTCCTATCCTAGCTGGAGGAAGAAGGGCTCTCCTTGTTACCACAATCCCTACCCCTTCGGCCCCACAAGAGCTCTGGCAATGAGAAGCCAGCATACTTCGAACTCCTGGGTTACTCCAATGGACTCCAGTTTATAACAGTCTTCCCTGCTTCCCCTTTCCTCCTGAAAAAGTACACCTCCCTTTTGTTCTTCAGACTTGCCTGTGGTTGCTGCAGCTTGTTTGTTCTGGATTGCAATTCTCATTTCTTCCTGACTAACTCCCTCTGTGCTATTAGAACAACTGGCAGGTTTTAGTTTTAAGGTTAACAGTCATCACAACTAGGAGCCAGCAGTCTTGGGGCCCGGGATGCACTGCAGTAATATCTCCGTGTTCTGATGGCATCTCTCCAGGACTCTCTTAGAATTTATTTTCTGGTACCAGAG